AACACGGCTCTGCCTCGCGATGTAGTTCGAGAACTTGCCGTTATTCAGCTCGAACGTCTTGGTGCATATGGTTGCCATGATTGCAGAATCGTTCGGATAGGGAGAATGCGTGTCACAGGCTAGCTGGGAGAACGAGGGTCCACGTCGGACTTTGTAATCTTCGGCTGAAGGGTGGGGAATGGCTTGGTGGGTATGAGCACGAGTACGAGTATGCTGAGTGACTCACGATGCGGGGATCCGGTGGAGTAGTGCGATAATAGCCGTACTTCATATCTGTGTCTAGGGTGGGGGGGTGGTGATTCTGTCCTTGCTGCAGAAGGTTCAGGCGGGGCCTAATACCTAATACGGAAGGGCACAGACTCTCTTCAACATCTATGGGTGTTGGCTGCAATTGGCAGAGTCCCTTGTGAAATTAAGGGCGCGGCAGAATGGGGAAACGAACAAAAGGGGGAAGTGGGTGGGGGGTTAGTCTATTATTAGCTTGTCATGCCTTGAGCTAGTGTCTTAGTTTTGCGAGGTTAGCAGTTATTAATACCTAAAGTATCTAGACCCGGCAATGTCGAAGACGTGTTAAGATCTATCCTCGATTTGTACCATTCATTAGCATTTCTAGGCACCCTGCGACTCACTAACCCACGACTCTATCTGTGAGGACACATATATAGCTACATGTATGGCGGACCTCGATGGGGCAGCGTATAAACAGATTTGTTCAACCAACGCTAATTTTATGCAACAATGATCCCCATGGACTAAGACAGCATAGTCCGCGGTGATTATGAGGATTATGAGGTTTTATTTGTAGATGCGATCATAGGCTCATTATACGTAGAATCCCCGGAGAGAGGGCCAGCCTCCTCTTTCTTGATGCCTTGTTATCCCTACCCCTTAATGCATCCATGTCCACTAATGCATCCCTATCCGCAACCCTCCGTTATCCCTATCGTAAATGCCTTGCTTTCCATAATAGTGATTGATGCTGTATTCCAGGTTTCGAGCAATCCCCGGCTGAAGAGCGCTCGAATCAGTGAGCAAACCGGAAGTCCAACCTCTTGTTGCCCTCGTCTTTAGTCATCCGAAGGTACTCATCCCTCTCCTCCCAGCTCATCGAATACCAAATCGCCTCGCGGGCCTTGTTCCGCCGGATGTAGTAGAGTTTGACGAAGATGGCCATGATGACGTTCCAGCCGACAACGCAAAGAAGCACCTTGTTCCCACGCCTATAAAAGGGCGCATCGTCCTCGCGGTAGATCTGCCGCCATATTGTTCGTCAGTACGACACGGTCTATGAGCATTATTGCTATGTGAGTATCGAGGTATATATCGTACGTTGGAAGCAATGATGGAGCCGCCCTGTCCAACCATGTTGTACATGGCACTGCCAATAGTCCTTGTCCGAACGGAACCAGCGTTCCTTGATGTGAGGCTAACTTTTAGTTTCGGCAGAGTTAGGACAATTCGACTTAGCAAAGGTTTGTTCGGGAGTGCTCACCATTGATAGAATGGATGTATGGGTAGCCGATCAGAAACACCGTGACAGTATACCAGGCCCATGGGCTGGCAGTGGATGGAAGAAGCTCAAGAACGAGCAGAAGGACAAAGGTCCAGAAACAGTAGAATAGCACGACGGCCCCTCGATTGTTGATTTTTTCAGAGTACCAGGTCCAGAAGAGCAGTTGGCATAGGAATAGGCAATATGCCGGAACTGTTAGGAGATTCGTTTCGAAGGTGCTAAAGCCGAGAGCTCTCAGACTCAGGGTGAGATATGCGTTGACTGGGTGTACTGGCATAAGTAAGGTTATGTTGATGATGTACAATGGCCAGAGGTCATAGTCCATGAGGGCAGCCCAGAGCAACTTCAGGGTCAACCCTTCACGGTTGTGCATCCCGCCCTGTATAGCCGCTTGTCAGTTGCCAAAGCCACCATGCTTGGAGGTAACGATTTGCGTTACCTTTCCTGGGTCGTCGCGTAGAACTCTGTTCACCATGATAACCTCCTCGCGCTCATTGAACCACCCATCTTTTCCTCTAAACCAACTGGCCGTTTCTGTAGGGCTTGGGGGAAGGTAGAACCAGGAAATGACGCCGATAGCTACCGTTAGACCTCCTTCAAGGACAAAGAGCCATCTCCATCCCTCCCACCCAGCAATACCACGCATCTGTAGTACCCCAGAGGCGAGGAAAGCGGCGACGATATGGGTGATGTGTGAGGAGCAGTAGAACCAGGCTACACGCATCGGGAGTTCCCGGTTTGTGTAAAAGTAGGACAGATAAAGTAGGGCATCTGCAATGAAACCACCCTCGAGTATGCCAAGTAATGCCCGGGTGGCAAAAAAGGTACCCTTACCCGTAACGAGGCCCTGTGATATACCGACGATGCTCCACAGGACCATCTGAATAGGTATCCAGACATCAGGGCCTAACTTCTTAGAGATTATCTGGGATGGGACTTCGGCGCACAAGAAGCAGGCGTAGAAGATCGTCATCCCTCTGTTGTAGTCGTTTGTCGTCAGACCGAGATCGTCTAACATGCCGTCGCTTAGTGCCTGGCCGATATTGCCGCGATCAAGCTGCAGGGCGAAAAACATGAGGCAGACCCAGGAGGCGATGCGGTAGTCCAGCTATAGACATTCAGCATGCTTACCCTCCGAGCATTTATCGTCGTCGCGCCCGTTTGAGACTCACCTTGCGAACAAGAGTCTTTTCCTCCTTCTGGGTCCATTCCGCAGACGGGTCGTAGCGATGCCTGCCCTCATACCCTGCTATCGGCTCGTAAAAGTCCGCGGATACACCGGACACGAATGCATCACCGGTGACATAGTTAGTTTTAGGAGACGACGAGGCGTCGCCAAGCAACGAGTCAAGCGGTGTGGGCGATGAGTATAATGAGTCCGCGGCGTCGTCGACCGTTAGTTTGTCATACTCCATTTTGACTACTTGGGATATAAATCGGAGTTGACAGCGGGTGTCGAGTCTAACAGGTGACTATTTCACGGTCTCAACTACGCGTTTACATTTTTTTTTAGACAGCGACAGCAGTGTCAAAACTTTTATGCATTTCTCCTCGAAGGAATCCTCACACGTGCAATGGGTTGGAAATGGCGTAATGGTGGGTGTGTAGTCGTCTTGCTACGAATGACCCGAATAGGTGCGCGTGCGTGAGACCCGCGATGACGCAATACACATGCTGACGAGCGGATCTGGCATATGTGCATTGGTGAGCAACGCCGATCGGTGAGAACCCTCTAGCCCCCACCCTGTAAGTAATGCTCGTATTATAAAACTCCAGTATTAAATTATCCCACAGCAGTAGTAATGGGCTTAGCGTTATCACTCTGACTGGATACCCCCGCGCGCAGTTCATCCTCCAAGCTGTGCCCTGCAGGTCGAGCCCGTTCCAGACGCCTTGCCCGGATGCAGCTGAGACAGGAGACCCACTTCGTTTGTTTCGTGACCGTGCCGCCCGAGCCGTGACAGCTTGGATTTGGTTCGTGGGCTGTTCGTTGATTTGGGGTGATGGGAAAGGCGAGGGATGGGGATCTATCTACATCTACAGAGTACAGAATACAGTAATACAGCAAGGTGGGGTAGAGTGGGTAGCCCACAATAGTAGTTCGATGGCGTACATGCATACAGAACCTATTCTCTCGATACACACTAAGGATCTCTAAATCCCTGTTTGCAGACCTTCGGTTTAGACTTCCATGCTACTCATAATACCGAATGCAATATACCGCATTTCACCTGATTCCGTGGTCTTCACGTGAGCCCGAGAGGATGGAGTGGGTGCTAAGGCTGTGTACGAGATCACACTGCAACACCCTTCACTCCCTGGTCTTGGGTTTTGCCCCCCTCCCTAAGATGATCCCTCCCTAGGTCGATGTGGTGAGGTTTGGTGTTAGCTACGATACCCTCCAACTCAGGGGAGTCTTACGCTCCGCCCTTGCACCCCCTTGAACCATATTATTCCAGAGGTTGCCTATGAGAAGCTAGGAGAAAGTTCTTTCGCAGACTTAACGACTAATACAGCCCTTCAGAACCGGAGTGAGGATAGATGCCTATTGTATTCGCTTACTAAAAGTGGCATATCTACTTAAGTGCCAAATTCAGCTACTTTGGGGGTCTTTCTCATTTTACTTTCCCCCTCGGTCCTAACCTCGGGATCTTCCACCACGTTCTCACCGACTATAGAATGGAGAATAAGTGATGCTGACATCATCACGGTCACAGCCAATTCGGGCCAGGTAGCTCAGTGGTAGAGCGAAGGATTGCAGTCTGCGTTGCAAATATCCTTAGGTCACGTGTTCGATCCACGTTCGGGCCTCAGTTTTCTTTTTGATTTCATGTCATTTTTTGCTCCTGTTTATTCTGCATCTAAGCTCGATGTACAGAGTGCTCTTGTGAAATGGGTTGTTTGCTGCCCAGTCGGCGCCTGTTGCTGGCGGATGTGGATTGCCGGATGGTTTCGGTGGCCTATATACCATCCTAATTTGGCAAAGGGTCAAGGATTTTGCTGGTTAGTTGGTGCGTGATGCTTACTCCCTTGGTGGCTATTATACCTGGCAAGACCCACCTGGGCCGTCAAGATTGTCTAACCCCTGATTTTAAGGTACTGGAGGCGACGCCGTTTCCCCTCCTGCTTTGACCGAGGCCATTCTAGCAGGTTTGCGCCCACCCACCAGGCATATCCGCTCACTAAGTAATATAGTATCAACCATTCTGACACATCAGTGGAACAGTACAAATGTCCAATATTTGCATAATAGTTGGTACTATAGATTCAATCGGATGATATCTCATTGGAGAGTTGAATGCTTCTATAGGCAAGATCTGAACTATCTTTTCTACTTTTGCAGGTGAAGTAATTAATAGCTTGTGATGCTGTTCCCATGCGCGCCAATTGCGGAAGCCATGATTGTGTACAGCTTAACCCCAAAACAAACAAATACATACCCGCCTCGGAAAGAAATTGTCAGCATTGACCCAAGAATGGGTGCGCGGCCCTTATAGCTCAGTGGTAGAGCGCGTCACTAGTACTGAACCAATTGGTCACGTGCCATGACGAGGTCGTAGGTTCGACTCCTGCTGAGGGCATTCAGTTTCTTCTTTTTTACCCATCAACAACATCATCATGGTTTCCTTTTTACACCTTGAGTTATTAGATTCTCATCCTTTATAGTCAGCCAGGCAGTATGAGTTATATGTGGCAAGCTAAGTATATAGTGTATAAGACACCCTGAAAGAACAAACGGGGGCCACAGGCCAGTGGGAGGCTGGACTTATCCCTGCCGTCGAGGCCCATTCACCTCCACACTAGGCTGCTTCGGCATCCTTGCTGCCTCCTCGTTTCCTGCCCATGGAGCTTAAAGCCGATCGACCCGAAAGTTTCAGTGAGAAAGAGCGTGGTGTTGACTAGATGAAGCGAACTTCATCCACCGCTGCGGTCCGCTGGAAAATGCTCCTGAAGGTTCTGAGTATATTTTTCAGCAGCCTCTACATAAGTCCCCGGCCGCCCCCCAGCGACCTTGATACAAGCCGTGCCAACTTCGATGTGGACAGGTGTTATGGAGAGTGGGTGTGTGATATCAGCGAGGTGGAGGAGTACTGGGGTTGTGTAATGCCTGCACGAACAAGGACAGGGCTCCGGAAAGGCCGATGGCTGGTCGGGTGTACCTCACGCAGATGTGGTGGCAATTTAGAGAAGTATAATTCAGGGAAGAGGCATGGTGAGTCAGGAACTGTGGCGTGTGAGCATGAAAACGTTATAGCGAACCAAACTAAACCTTCCAAAAATGTGCTCAGGGGGTACGTGCATCCTCCTTGGCAGAGCAGGTGAACACCGTGGTCTTCTTGGGTCAAGTTTACATTAGGGGGGGGGGAATCAACTTTAACCCTAGAGTGCCGCAAGCTTAGACGTGGTGTCCTTTTAAAGGACAAAAACAGGACATCATCCAAAAACTATGAAGTCCAGAATCCGCGGCGTGTCTATCCCCAAGAAACGATCCTATGTCATATCGTCCTCGGATGCGCTCAAATACACCATGCCTCAGATACCATAGCTACAATTTATCTTGTAGACGCGAGACAGAGTACGCATTATATGGTATTTATAGACGTCGTTGTTCGTCTCCTATTGCCCATACATCCGAGGTTTAACTTTTATTCTCAGTACCGGCCTTGTTCTGGACACCTGCGAGTTAAAATATACAACTATTAAAGGGCTTAGGTTCTAATACAGATATAAAATTGTCGTACTTCCATCAAGATTCATCTGATACGGCCGGCGGATCCTTGACCCGGGGCTTGCATAAATATCGATCTCTTCCCCTGTCAGGAATAGGGAGCATTGGGTACCTGCTAAACCTTTCCCTACCTTTGCCCTTATCTTCGCTTGTAAGTGATCATACCAATGAGACAGGAGTTGACGGAATCGTTTTGCTGACGCTCGTAGAAGCACGACCGGATTTATCCCAAGAACACTCAATACCGTGGAGGACCCAGCTACGCCCGAGGCGCTCATTCAATGGAAAATCCCGACGCCACAGGCACCATGCAAATGGAGTAGAGGCAAAAAGATACCTTGGGACTTCCATGACCCGTATACTCCTCCAAAGCAGATATCGAATACGCCTACCAGGGGAGGTATTTGAGATTGGGAGGAAACGCCCGAGGCTTCATTTAAGGGTCGTCAACCTTACGTTCGCAACAGCGCGGGCTGTAGCGACTCAAGTCCGATCCGCAGATGGAAGAGCCGGGGAAGCGGACCTATTTCCGATAGGCTTGTATCAAGTCGTGAGGTAAACCTGGATAAGAAACAAGAGGGACACTCAGACCAAGAGAGAGTGTGGGAAGCGGAGATAAGCGCCAAGAAAGCCCAAGTAGTGAGGATCAAGGAGGAAATAGAGGAACAGCTGGAAGCGTCGGAGACAGGAAAGCGCAAGCGAGCTGACCAGGATGACGGCCATGGCTCGGATGGTTCGGATCTCAGTACGCGGCCACTCAAGGTCTCGAAGGTTTCAGCTTTCAACTTTAAGGGCAAGGTCGAGAATTGGGGTCTCTGCCATATCTCAAGGAGTGGAGGACGCGTCTGGTCAGAAATCCGTCCCGCCGTCAGGGATTTTGTTAAGTTACCTCTCGAAATCTCCAACTTTAATAATCTGTTTTACTCCCAGCGGCTAGTAGGCTCTACCACAAATATCGCGCACCATCTCAGCATGTCTAACACCGATATCCAGCCTCGATGACGGTGTCTCGCTGCAGTGCATAAGCTTCCCTGCTTTTGCAAAATCAAACCTGCGGGGGTCTCTTATCTCATGCAGCGATAGCTCTCGGGTCCAGAGCATAGTATCTTTGCCGCAGGCACACTCACTACCCCATTCCTGAGTAATCCATTCCTCCCTCAGGGACTCTCCCGGACAAAGGAGGTTAGCTTGGTAGAATGACCACCCAATAGCGGTGGGCGACGGGCTTCTTCCAAGATGGCACAGGTCGGACAGGTAGAGCCTAGCCAGGCGAGAGGACTTGGCAGCCATATCTTTCAGTACATGACCCCAGTCGGTCACAATACCGGGTTGGACCTCTAGAAACACCTGGCGGAGCTCCACATCCTCAAGCTGGGGCTGTTGTTCTGCGAAACGAACTAGGTCCTGACCATGGACGCAAATCCCACGGAGGACGAGGCGCCGTAGCTGCGGGAGCACGACGCCTTGCTTCACTAGGGCGCCGAACACGCGGGTGTAGTTGTGTAGCATCGAGCCCCCTCCGTATGACTCGTACTGGAGGGTCTGGTACATGTGGAGGTCGAGCGACTGGAGGTTTGGCATGTGAAGCAGGAGCTTCGCAATCCCGGGGAAGTTGTCGCGGCAAAGCACCTGGGCGTAATTATCTCCGTAGCGGCCGCGAATCTCGGACCCTTTTCCCCGTTCAATGGCCTTGTCAAACTCGGCGTCATCTTCGTCATCGCCGTCGTCACAATCGCCCTCCTCTTCGCTCCCTTCCCCTGGTTCTTCTTCGCGCTGATCGTCGCTCTCGTCGCCTGAGTTGACATCCTGTTCGGCGGCCCCGTCTTCTTCGTCACTCATCACATACTCCTCCTCATCAAAAATGGCCTGCCATTGTTGACGCTGTCTCACCCGCTCGGCTTCTCCAACCTCAACACCGTACGCTTGCAGCCAGCCATTCCAACCGTGGTCTACTCTGGTAGAGAAGCTCAACGTCAGCGACTCGACAGACATCCCCACAGCTTCGAAACCCGCGTCTACCAAACCGGGTAGCAAGACGCAAATATCGTAGGAGGGAACGCTACAGCCGATCGTGTTGCCGTAGATATTCAAGTTCGGAACGATGCTACCGCTACGCACGATTGCCATCATTGTGAGTCGGTAGACTTGCGATGCGCGGACCCACAGTGTCTGCCACTCTTCGGGAAGGATGTGTTGCGCAAGGGGTTCCGAAGGACGGATGCCAGGCCCTTCGGTGAAGTGTGCATAGAGCTCAATGGTAAGGGGGCATCGCCCGTTCCAGGCAAGAATTGATGAAAGGCGCTCTACAGTCTCAGCATCGTCCAACTCGTATTTCTGCGCTCGCATCCATTCCAAGGCCTTCTCTCCCCGGTCTATGTGCTCCTCTGGCAATCCTATCATCATGTTTTTGTCGAACGTCCGCGTTGCAGAAAGGATCGCTGGCGCCTCTGCCACGATACGGATGTGTATGACCATCCGGCTGAGGGACCCATGACGACTAAGAGCCTCGAGCGAATGTAGACTTGGCGGTGTGAGATTGGTTGTTTGGCGTTCGAAGCATGAAAGATAGTGGTGACTCCCAACCACCTTTTGGCCTAGTTCTGTGCATACTAGTCGGAGTCGTTTAAGGTCATTTGAGGGAAGGTGGTCAAGGATGTTATATATCACTTCTGTCGGAAGCGCGGGAAGGATGCTCCGTAAGTCCATCTCCTCAACCCAATGGTTCAATATACAGAAAATAGGAATGTTAAAATGTACTTCCGCCTCTCCTTAAGCGCGGGTATGTGCATTCATCACTTACCTGCTGATATAAGCAAGACTGGGATGGATCGGCGTTATAGTCACTCCGGCTTACTAGCTTTTGTTCATGTCGTTCGGCGCTGAAACCCAGAGGACTCTCCACAGAGAGCGCGACCACTTTGGGGTTTCTTACTAGCTTCCATCTTTCCTATTGAGAGTTCAACAGCTCCTTTGTGTCGTCCGAAGACAAAATTTCCATTTATCACACAGAACGGTAGGAGAACACAGAGCGGTAGGAGGATGATGATCTTGTTATGATTAACCTCGTAGCAATTTTACACCCCTTTTAGTTGTGTTGGGCGCAAGATCATTCCGATTTCATGTCGGGACAAGTAGAAAACGGCCAGGATGATGTTTGAGGGTAGAAGGAAATTACTCGTAATCTTGGCTTCATTTCGTATACACCCTCCTAGCTCGGAATGTATATTGTGTCAAGGAGCACGGTCGTTCTTGGTGCAAACTTGCCGTCAAAATCTTCCAGCAAGGTAGGTAAGTGATTCTCAGTGCTCTCCACCCGCTGCCCGCAGTATGTATTCTTAATGAGTTGACAGGCAATGTAGCCCCTGGCCTCCCTGAGGACTTTAAACCTAGTTTCATTTTTTTTTACCAAGGCCCGTAACGAAAGGCGTAGTTTAGAACGCCCACTGCGAAGTCGCCGTGCTTTCTCATCACCGGTGTCACCTTCTCTCGGACCGAATCTTCGTGAATACGGCTCCCGACAAGGCGACATACAATCTCACGCATGGCCGTGTCCGTGTCGGGCGTGTTGCTGTATAGTTCGTCGACAACATCGGCAAAGTAGTCCGCGACTTCCCATCCAGCCTCGGCCGCGCGGTAGAAACGATCGCGAGACAACAGGCGCAGGGCCGAGACATCGTACTTGTCTGCCATGATGTAAAGACGAAGGTGGAGAAACATGTCGTTTCGCTCGTTTAGACCCAGTTTGAGGAACGTGGGAGAGTCCCTAGCCCCAGATGTGGGATCGTACATGAGATGTGTTATCCTGGGGTTTTCATCATAATCCGAACCCACTGAGGCTTCGTCGTCGGTACC